GTTAATCATCAAATCCTTCTGTCCACCCTCTCATTTCTGGACATCACCGGAACTGCACTCCACAGGTTTGAGTCTTACCTCATAGGTAGGTCCTTCAGGGTGGCTTGGGGAGGAGAGGTATCCAAATCACATCAGCTGGTCACTGGGGTTCCTCAGGGATCAGTTCTTGGACCCCTCCTCTTCTCTATATACACTTCATCACTGGGACCCATCATTGAGGCACATGGTTTCTCCTACCATTGCTATGCTGATGACACGCAGCTCTACCTCTCATTTCAACCAGATTATTCGACGGTACCTGCTTGGCTGGCAAAGACAGAACTTCTCATCTTCCCAGCCACCCCATCAGTACAGCACCAGTTTACCATCCAACTGGGCTCATCAACAATAATAATCCCATTGGGTTCAGCCAGGAATCTTGGGGTGATCCTTGATGATCAGCTGACCTTTAAAGATCACTTTGCAAAAACAGCACGATCATGCAGGTTCGCACTACACAACATCAGAAAAATCAGACCCTTCCTAACAGAGCATGCAGCACAGCTTCTCGTCCAGGCCCTTGTCATTTCTAGGATGGACGATTGCAATGCTCTTCTGGCTGGACTTCCAACATGTGCAATCAAACCTCTGCAAATGATTCAGAATGCAGCAGCACGTCTTGTTTTCAATGAGCCCAAGAGAGCCCATGTCACACCACTTCTCATATCTCTGCATTGGCTTCCAGTCGCAGCTCACATCAAGTTCAAGACATTGGTGCTTGCCTACAGAACAGCCACGGGCTCACACCCTCCTACCTCCGCTCTGTCCTACTCCTCTACATCCCCTCCAGAAGCCTGTGGTCAGTAAACGAGCGGTGGCTCGTGGTCCCATCGCAGAGAGGCACAAATTCCCTCTCAAGGACGTTTTCTTTCACTGTATGCTGTTGGTGGAATGACCTACCTAACTCCATCCGGACAGCCGAATCCCTCACAATCTTCAAGAAACAACTGAAAACTCATCTCTTCCGTGAACATCTAACTGTCTCCAATAATAATTCTTTCTCTGTTCTTTTATTATCCGCTTTTTACTATTTTGAACGATGACTGAATCCTTGTATAACGGGCACTTCTCATGTTTATTGCCATCTTATGATACATCGCTTGTTGTATTCCTCAACTGTAAGTCGCTTTGGATAAAAACGTCTTCCAAATGAATACGTTAATGTAAAAATGTCATATAAACCAAATATTTGCCCAAAAATATTATATATTTTTTTGCTCATAAAAATGTATAACAACTAAATTGAATTAAAAAAACTTTAACAATTTATTCAATCTTTGGGCCATATAACATTATTCATTCATTCATTCATTCATTTATTCGGTTTCTTTTTTTACTTACCTTTACCAACTTCCATTTTTTCCTATTAAAATTTTTACTGGATTCCGTTTTAATTACATTTTAATCATAAAAACTTGTAGATGGTTGCTAGGAGGTTGCTATGCAGTTGTAGGAGGTTCTTGGTAGTTGCTAGGGTCTTTTGGTGAAAAAATAAATAGGTATATATTGCTGCTTATATTGTCATTGGTGCATACAAATTAAAATGATTAAATATGGAAAACATGTCTAGATTCTTTTAAAATAGATTGTTACTTTGCATTAAACATTTTGAATCTAATTAGCTACAAAGTCATGTATACATAAATATTGAGAGATATATTTAATATCATTAAATCAATTGTAAATTGCATTTAACATTTTGAATCTAATTGGCTACAATGGCAAACCCTATTAAGTAATTTATACATAAATATATATATATAGTGAAATTAAGATTTTTTTAAAAGCTATATCGCCCTAAATAACTGTAATCTGTTTTTATGAGACATTTGCTGAACTATAATGGCGTTTGTGTGAGGCGACAGCATTATTTGATTGGTTTGATTCAGTTGGTGATTGTTGTTCATTGAGGTTCGGGTATTTGGAGGGAATCCCGTTTTCCTCTCCAAACGACGGATCGCTGTCTTCATCGGGCTGGTAATCCCCTGGACCGCGGCCCAAGCCACACTTCCTTATCAGCGCTTCTCCTTCCTCTTATTGGCTCTTCAGCAGCCTATCAGCCTGCAGCGAGGCTCAGATGCAGAGAAGGTGCTGTAGAGCATTAAGCTCCCAACTGCCACGACCACAGAGGAAGTCTGAAACAGGAAGTCGAGGGTTCAAAGTTATCACTTTCACTAGTCCAGTTTTTTTTTTTTTTTTTTCAGAGTAAGGTGGCTGGTTCCTTTTACACGTGGCAGGAGATATCAAAACTCTTTTGCTTTCACTTGCTGTTTCTCATCCTTGAGCTCATATGAAGCTCTATTACATGATAAATCGAGTTTTGCCCTGACCGGACGTCACATGTTCTAGATTCCCAGTGTCCCACAGTCTAATACGTGTTTGTTTTGTAGATCTGCGTGGCTTGGCAGCGGTTCCTCGTGGCATGACGACCACTAACAAAGGAAACAAGGCCTTGAAGGTGAGCGCAGTCTGTCTTTAAAAGGGTAGTCCAACCAGAAATGAAAATGGCTTTATTTCTTATGCAGAACACCAAAAAATTATATTCTGAAGAATGTTGGTAACCAAACACATTAGGTTCCCTTTGAATTTCAATATATGGACAAAGAATACAATGGAAGTCAATGGTAACCAATGGACACATGTTCATCAAATAGTCAATCAAATAGTTTTGATTCCCATTGACTTCCATTCCATATAATGGAAGTAAAAAAAAAAAACCAAACTGTTCAGTTACCAATATTCTTCAAAATAGTTAGAAGACATTTAGAAAAACACAAAAGAAGATGTTTTGAAGAATGTTGGTAACCGAACAGTTTTGGCTCCCATTGACTTCCATGATATGGACAAAAAATACAATGGAAGTCAATGGGAACCAAAACTTTTTGGTGAGATGATGACACAAGGGTGAGTAAATAATGACAGAATTTTTATTTTGGGGCGGACTACTTTCATTTACTCACCATCATGTCGTTCCAAACCTGTTTAATGTTATTTTAAAGAATGTTGGTAACCAAACCATTTTGGTTCCCATTGACTTCCATTGTATTTTTTGTCCATATAAATGGAAGCCAATGGGAACCAAAACCACTTCAAAACATTGTTTTTGTGTTCTTGTAAATGTCTTCTAAATGTTAATTAACATTCCCCGGCCGTATCTCTTTCCTGGACTCTCAGGTGAAGAGGGAGCCCGGCGAGAACGGGACGAGCCTGACGGACGATGAGCTGGTGTCCATGTCGGTCCGCGAGCTCAACCAGCACCTGCGCGGCCTGACCAAAGATGAGATCCTTCAGCTGAAGCAGCGCCGGCGGACGCTGAAGAACCGGGGCTACGCCGCCAGCTGCCGCGTCAAGCGCGTCACGCAGAAGGAGGAGCTTGAGAGGCAGAAGGCGGAGCTACAGCAGGAAGTGGAGAAGCTGGCCTCGGAGAACGCCAGCATGAAAGTGGAGCTGGACGCGCTGCGCTCCAAATACGAGGCTCTGCAGAGCTTCGCCAGAACTGTGGCCCGAGGGCCCGTGGCCCCGGTTTGTAACGCAGCCGTCCCCGTCTCCCCCCGAGGGCCCTTGGCCTCCGTCATCGGGCCCCTCATTCCTGGGAAGGTGGGAGCCACCAGTGTTATCACGATAGTTAAATCGAAAACCAACGCGAGGTCTTAGTAGCGCACAGAGAGCAAGGGTTGGTCAGTGCATGAGGGTTTAGGTGCGGGACGCTCCTGATGGAAAACCCCTTCAGTACTCTCTAATGTGGGCTTTTTCTGGGTTACAAACGAAGGAAAGCACATCTAGGATGGTCAATTCACTTGGGCTTCCAAAACGATCTCCAAATTGCTAAACTCGAATCTAAAACCATGCAGCCAAATTTTCCTTGTGGATGTGTGTTGTATTGCTGTGAGATTTGTAATTTTTGTACAAACATCGGCGACTTTGTATCGTGCGTTTCACATGGGGTCCAAGTGTTTTCTTTGTCATTGTAATATTGTACTTTTTATACAGCGTTTGTGTTGATTTTCTCTTCGTATGTGCTGTTTCGCCATTTTTCCGTCCTTTGGTTTTACGGACTGCAGGCACAAAACACTTTAAAACTCTTCCACCGTCTGAAGGAAAAGCTTCCCGCGGTAGGAGAGTATCAGCCAATGAGAAGCTCCCTTTACCTGAGCCTCATTTATGCACTGACCAATCGCTGAGGGGCAGGAGGAGAGGAGGCGGAGTCAAATCAGCTGATGTTGTTCATATGGTAGCTATCAGAATCTGACACCAGTTTATGCGCTCCAGTCGTCCGTTTCAGGACAGGAGATCGTTTTTATTGGCAAGGCAATAACATGTTTATGTTATATGAGGTTTTGTGTTGTTTATTTCTTGCTGTGCGACCTTCACGCTGAAGGTTATCATGTCTGTCGTTGTCTGTAAATCCAGAGAGATGTATACTTTTTGTGTGTGTGTGTGTGTGTGTGTGTTCTGTGTCAGTTTTTGGACTAAAAACAAGAAAAGAGAAAAAAGGACGGACTGTTGCGTGACATAAACTGGTGAATCTCACAAGCTTTACCATAACTTTGTTGCTGTGACATTGCGTAACGTATTCTAAGAATCTTTGTCTATATGGTGGAGTCTTGAATTTTATATAAAAAAAATGACAGAGTATCTCTTGCATTATTTATAAAACATTTAAAAAAGAAATATAAAGTTGTTTGATAGCTCTCTTTTTTGCAATTGTACCAAAAGTGGCTTAACTATTGAAGTCAATAGCTTTTTCTAGTGGCTAGGGGCGTCAAACTGTGGAGTAGCGCGTGTGGTGTGATTTGTACTGGTGAGGTGGCGGTGTTGTTTACGACGTGGATGTGAAGCTCTTATCTTCTGATTTCAGACGAATGCGCGCGATGAGCGCCGCTTACCCAGAATCCCCTCTGAGCGTTTGTGCGCTCCATGTTTAAGTGGACGGGACGCGAGCGCAGGGATCTCTGGGACGCGGCCGCATCGCCTGTGTTTGAGTCCTTTTATGTGACGTGTGACTTTTATATATTTTTGGTGTAAAATGTTTCTATGGTATATTATATTTGTTGTTGTTTTTTTCTTCTTTTTTTCGGGTTGTTTTCTTTAAATGCCAGGGAAGTGGCTCTGTCTGCACTGGTTTAAACCAGCTCTTCTTGCTGCGACGCTGCTCAAAATATTCCTTTCCTCATCCTTTAAAAAGGTTTCGTCCGAAAGGTTTCAGGACGTTATCTGCATTTTTCTCTTCTTTTTTTTTTTTTGGCCAAATTGTTTGTCCATTAAGAAAAAGAGTAAAACTCAGCTGTTGTAATGCTGCGTTCATGTCTCTTCGGAATAATTATGTTACAATTGTAATTATGTTACAGTTCTGTCCATCCTCGGACTCTGAAATTGTTTTTATTGTAATGCACATAACGCTAAAAAAATATGTAGTTCCTCACACGCCCGATAAATCAGCAATTTCTCTAGTTAAATTACAATGTAAACTAGAAAAGACATGTTTGCATGGTCACAGAAATTTTTATGAGCAATTTCAGTCAATTAGGTCAAATCTTCAGGCTTACAAAACATATGAAAGTGTGAGCACATCATTTTAATTGAGTGCAGTCAGCTCATAGTAAGAAATCGCCATGCCTCCAATTGGGAGGAAAAAATTAATTAAATTAATTAAAAAATGTTAAAAAAAATTAATTCACAAAAATAAAAATGTATTAATTAATTAAATTGAAAACTATTTACAAAAAATCACATTCACAGGACGTTATCTGCATTTTTCTCTTCTTTTTTTTTTTTGGGCCTAATTGTTTCTCCATTAAGAAAAAGAGTAAAACTCAGCTGTTGTAATTCTACGTTCACGTCTCTTCGGAATAATTATGTTACAATTGTAATTATGTTGCAGTTCTGTCCATCCTCGGACTCTGAAATTGTTTTTATTGTAATGCACATAACGCTAAAAAAATATGTAGTTCCTCACACGCCCGATAAATCAGCAATTTCTCTAGTTAAATTACAATGTAAACTAGAAAAGACATGTTTGCATGGTCACAGAAATTTTTATGAGCAAAATCAGTCAATTAGGTCAAATCTTCAGGCTTACAAAACATATGAAAGTGTGAGCACATCATTTTAATTGAGTGCAGTCAGCTCATAGTAAGAAATCGCCATGCCTCCAATTGGGAGGAAAAAATTAATTAAATTAATTAAAAAATGTTAAAAAAAATTAATTCACAAAAATAAAAATGTATTAATTAATTAAATTGAAAACTATTTACAAAAAATCACATTCACAAAAAAATAAAAAATTAATTAATTAATTATTTAAATTTAAAAAATGTTTACAAAAATTCACATTCACTTAAAAAAAATATATATATTTTATTATTTAAATTGAAAAATGTTTACAAAAATGTACACTCACAAAATATAAAAATAAAGTGTATTTATTACTAACAGCTGATTGTACTCAATTTAAATGATGTGCTCACACTTTTGCATGTTTTGTGAGCCTGAGAAAGATTATTGACCAAAATGTTGCTCATTAGAATTTCTCTGATTATGCAAACTTGAGTAGTGTGCGGGATCTATATTTCTTTATTTATAATGCATGTAATGCTAAAATGAATCCACGTGTTGCTTTGTTGTTGATAGGGTCGCAAAGTGGTGGAAAATGTCAGGTAAATTTTCGGAAACTTTCCCAAAAAAAAGTTTAAAAAATCTTTTTTTGGGAAATTCTCTGCTCTTTTGCAACCTTAGTTGTTGATGACAGTGAATTGATTTAGCTCTACATGCTCTCACAAAATACCGAAGCGTTTATAAAATGCATCATAAGTGCACGACTGGAATCTAAATGACATTGTAAATGTGTCGCAGAAGCTCACATTTCGCTTGTTTTTACATGATGTCACAAAATCTTTTGTAAAGATGTGAGGGTTTATGTAACTCAGAAGCTGATATTTGCGGTGATTGCGAGCATCAATGCTCTGATAAGTGATTTATTGCAGCACAGGATTGTTTATCGTTTAGTCTAATCTTCTGACAATCTGAAGCTGTTGTAATGCTGCGTTCATGTCTCTTCGGAATAATTATGTTACAATTGTAATTATGTTACAGTTCTGTCCATCCTCGGACTCTGAAATTGTTTTTATTGTAATGCACATAACGCTAAAAAAATATGTAGTTCCTCACACGCCCGATAAATCAGCAATTTCTCTAGTTAAATTACAATGTAAACTAGAAAAGACATGTTTGCATGGTCACAGAAATTTTTATGAGCAAAATCAGTCAATTAGGTCAAATCTTCAGGCTTACAAAACATATATATGAAAGTGCACATCATTTTAATTGAGTGCAGTCAGCTCATAGTAAGAAATCGCCATGCCTCCAATTGGGAGGAAAAAATTAATTAAATTAATTAAAAAATGTTAAAAAAAATTAATTCACAAAAATAAAAATGTATTAATTAATTAAATTGAAAAATGTTTACAAAAATGTACACTCACAAAATATAAAAATAAAGTGTATTTATTACTAACAGCTGATTGTTTAAATTTAAATGATGTGCTCACACTTTTGCATGTTTTGTGAGCCTGAGAAAGATTATTGACCAAAATGTTGCTCATTAGAATTTCTCTGATTATGCAAACTTGAGTAGTGTGCGGGATCTATATTTCTTTATTTATAATGCATGTAATGCTAAAATGAATCCACGTGTTGCTTTGTTGTTGATAGGGTCGCAAAGTGGTGGAAAATGTCAGGTAAATTTTCGGAAACTTTCCCAAAAAAAAGTTTAAAAAATCTTTTTTTGGGAAATTCTCTGCTCTTTTGCAACCTTAGTTGTTGATGACAGTGAATTGATTTAGCTCTACATGCTCTCACAAAATACCGAAGCGTTTATAAAATGCATCATAAGTGCACGACTGGAATCTAAATGACATTGTAAATGTGTCGCAGAAGCTCACATTTCGCTTGTTTTTACATGATGTCACAAAATCTTTTGTAAAGATGTGAGGGTTTATGTAACTCAGAAGCTGATATTTGCGGTGATTGCGAGCATCAATGCTCTGATAAGTGATTTATTGCAGCACAGGATTGTTTATCGTTTAGTCTAATCTTCTGACAATCTGAACATGATTTGAAGTTCTCATCAGTGATTTTTCTCGAGTGATTTCCACTGATCTGGCATTTTAAGAACGGATTCGTTGTAGGTGTATTTGTACGACTGGGGTTTTTAATCTCGATGTAAATCAACAGAAATATCTTCCTCTGACTGGCTAATCTGTGAAATCGTTTCGTAACCAAGTCTTCGGCATTGCTTTCGTAACCAATGGTAGCGTTTCTCCTATCGGCTGTGGCGGTTTTGTGGCGTTTCTATAGGCGATGTATCGAACGGTTTTGAAGACAAAAAAAATTCTAGCTTCTTCTCAAACGATGATGATGTGGTTGTCGTCGGCGTGTCGTGTGTCAGGTAGCACTACTGCCCAATAATGAGGCTCCTGATCCTCTGCTGAATTTCTCTTTCACGAGGAGCGGCTCGTTCACGTTTGTTGTCGTTATGGTCGTCGTGGTGACTCGGTGTTAAAAGTGAACTATATGCAAATGAGCTGGCGTTAGGGAGGGGTCACGACCTCTCGGTAGGAATCTAGTTTTCTGTCCTTGAAGTTGTCGTCCGTGCATAATCGCAGCGATTGATGATGAGTGCTAGATTTGCCCAACAAGGGCTCTGAAACCGAGCGTTTAGTTTCATTTGAATCCCTGTTAGAAACAGTGCCACGTCCCACGAGGCCGAGCGAACGCTGAAGAAAATCATTCTCTTACTTTTAGTGCTTTTGTCTTTTCCTGTACAAAGACACATGGAAGAAAAATTAGTTCATTTTGATATGTTTTTGGGGAAATAATACTAAGTGAGTTCATGCTTAAAACAAGAACAATTATCTGCCAGTGGATACATTTTGATACATTTTTCAGAAGATCAGAAGATCTAAAATCTTAATGGAGTTTATGCGTAAAACAAGAAAACATAAGCATCAACTCACTTAATTTTATGCATTTTTCAGAAGATCAGACTAAAGAACTTCAGTGAGTTTGTTTAAAGCAAGAACAAATGTGTGTCAGCAGGGTTAGAAAAATAAACCTAATTCAAAAACCCCATTGGCAGATACTTTTTCGTCTTTTATGCATAAACTTACTTAATTTTGATGCATTTTCCAGAAAATAGGGCTCAAAATCTTAAGCGAGTTTATGTTTAAAACAAGACAAAAATCAGCCAATGGGGTCAGATAAATGATCTTGTTTTCCTATGAATTAAGCAGATTTATTTCTTCTGGTTTTTAGCATAAACTCACTTAATTTTGAAAGCATTTTTCAGAAAACAGGACTTAAAATCTTTCAATGCATTTATGATTAAAACAAGAACACATATCTGCCGACGAGTCAGAAAAATCAACTGAATTCAAATAAAAAACTAATTGTTTCCTTCCCATCAGCAGATTTTTT